CACATGTCAACCAATCATTTGCTCCGACAAAACAAATTTCATGATATTAATCGTTGCATGACCAATATCTTATAATTATAGAACTTTTGTAAATAAATATCTTGTCTAAATAAATACAAAATTGGTTTACTACCTTATACATTTAAATATAATTTATTTTTATTAGAATTTGACCTCTTTATAATCACTAATTTCTAATTAAACACAGATTACGATTTAAAATTTTGCCATGAATGTTTACAAGGCCTTTATATATAAAGATCACTCACTTTAAATTAATCAATTAATAAAATCTCGATCACGTTGAGGAAGCATCCTTGTAATAAAGTAAACCGAAAAAAATCATTAAAATTGATGTCCTATTGTCCTATAGCTTTGATCTTTAATAATTTTCTTTTTATAAATGTAAAATTTTAATAAAAATTATTAACCAATCATACGAACTTCTTCCTATGTAATAAAATGAGTACACTGAGAAATTAATGTAGGATTATACGCACGTACGTACGTACATGATATCTGCACACTCGCTTGTAAATATAATGTTATAATAATTGTATAGTAAAAATAAGTTAGTACCGTGTTGAATTCGGTTAGGGATAAATATTATGCAATTCATAACTTCGTGATACCAGCTTGCCTATTTGCAGAGTTAGTGAAGTAAAATTATGTCCTCAACATTTTTAGTTAGCCATTTTTCATATTAACGTTAATGTTTGTAAATGGAAACTGAATTCAAAATTACAATTTTAGGGTAGAATTTATCTTATGTAAACCTACACCCTAACCCCAAAAATCATAAATTCCAAATCCGTTCCCAATTACAACACTAATACGTATATGGGGTCTTTGCCTTGAAAATCACATTATGGGACATATGATTTACTATGTCTCAACGTGATTTTCAAGGCAAAGATCCCATATATATAAAAAAAGATGGGAATGCTTTACGCGTTTATATTGGTTTCCTTTTTTGGGTGAGCAAGTAAATAAAGCCTTTTGATAACCCTCTTAAATAGTTACCTAATTATAAGTAAATAATGTGCCAATTTCTAAACCATTTGATTGGCATTTAATTGTCAATACTCAAATCAAAAATTAATACGTACCGTAAATATACATATCATAAAAAAACTATTTTGGCTTAGCTAAAAGTATTTTGGCATTGATGTTTGATATGAAATTGCTGTTATCTCAGAAATTTATATGCCGAAATACTCTTGCACATGCCGAACTAATGTAAAATTATACTGTAATACAGAATTGCGGCTATCAATATTTCTATGAATGTAAAATTATACTGTAATACAGAATTGCGGCTATCAATTTAGGTTATGACTATTTTAGATTTCTGTCTTTGCTCAGATTAAGATTTGCAGCTTTGTTTCTACCTAAAAAATCAGTGCCTAAATACAGCCGTAACTTAATTTCTACGAGTGGCGTCACTTTTATAATCAATAGATTAATATATAATATATTTTATTAAAGTTATCACCTATATTGATCGACCTATTAAATCCGGATTACTGTATCGTAACCAGGTTTATTATTCATTTATTATTCATTTGTTGATGCCATATAACGATAAGTAAATCTGTTCCAAATTACGCACTTACCCAAGTAACCCCCATATAATGATAAGCAAATCTGTTCCAAATTACGCACTTACCCAAGTAACCCAGGTACGTACATACATATACCGACATCTCAACAACCACATAAACAAATTTAGTTAATTTTCATCGAATTGGTTACATGCATATGCAATTGCATATATATATTTACTATCGCTATCGTTAAAATCATTAGTAAAATAAAATAAATTGTGTACTGTAGAAAACAGGAACTGTCATAAATCTGGAGCAAAAAAACTTTGTTCGAGGTTACCCAATCAGGGTTTATAGAATGTAGGTCCTCTTTATAATGAGATGACTTTTTGATTAAAAAAGTTTATTATATAGGGGTTTTGCAGTACGTAGAAAAGACCTAAATGCTATAATCTATATAGAATTTAGGCCTTTTCTACTGCAAAGACCCTATATAGCGATAGTATAGTAAACTCACTATAATTGGTTTTGAGCTTTAACTTCACACCGTATATCGAGTTACTGTCTGATGCTTTTGAACAAAAGATGAGACTGGATCACACACTCGTATACAATTTGTCTATTATTATAGTTGTACAAATAAGTAAAATTTTACTCGGTAACTGTAAATATACACCAAAGAAAGATGCATTGTATGCACAGCACTGTTTGGATACGGCTGCACTTCACACCTGGGACCATAAATATTTATAAACAATATCGTATGAACGGAGAATCTATTTTAATTAAATTGGTGTGAAATTAGTGCGTGAAATTATTTATTGAAAATCAAATTAGACTTGTATCTCCATTTGTTACATTTGACATACATAAAAAAATATTTATTTAAACACGCGCTCTTCATCCAATTTTCGGAAAAATTTCTCACAAAATTAAATCTTAGTAAAGATGGTACATAATCACATAAAAATTGGAAAGAAAACCATTCCAAACTTAAATTTGAAACAAGACTTTGAATCGTGCACTGAGATTTACACAACTCTTCAATGTGATATTAATCCTCAGCAAATAATTAATTCCAATATATCGACCAATTATTACAAGGGCCTTGATCAATTGATCAAAAATTTGCAATTAAATACAACTCAGCATCAATACATAGAATGGATACCTTACGATCGTCTAACCGATATTCAATTTTTGGGTCAAGGAGGATTTAGTACTGTTTATTCTGCACTATGGAAAGATGGCGAAATCCTGAAAAAGGATACCGATAATGATCTCGAGCAACCGCTTAGAAATGGTCCAAGGAAAGTTGCTCTCAAGCAACTTCATAATTCTCAAAACATGCGCCCTCAATTTTTAAGTGAGGTAAATTTTATTATAATAAATGTCGCAGATTATAATGAAATTGGATTAAAATGAAATTAGGGGTTTCTATTTGACCCCTTAAAACCCACTTATACTTGTTTATTACACTAAACCACTAAACACTAAACCATAATCCTAACTCTAAAAAAAATCTAAAAAAAGTGCAACCCAAAAATTCATATTTTTTGGTGGCTTGCCTATTTTACACTACCCCTAATTTCATTTTAATCTAATTTCGTTTTAATCTGTCACAATAATACATTAATATATAGTTATATAACCTATCATATAATTTTTTTTTTTAACGGTTAATATAGTTAGAATCATCATTTTATTGTAATAGTGATAGAATAGTTCACATCTATGGAATAACACAGGATCCGAAAACCAAAGATTATATGATCGTAATGCATCTTTTTGAACAGGGCAATTTGCGATCCTATATTCGTGAAAATTCCAACAAACTTACTTGGATAAAAAAAATCGAAATCTTGCTTGATATTGCCCGAGGAATTCACTCTATTCATCAAACTGGTTTATGTCACAAAAATATTCATACCGGCAACTTGTTATATGATAATGATGTTGTGTTAATAAGTGATTTGGGTGTTTCTGGACCTGCTGATAAATTATGTGACTATAACGAAGCTGTTGGTGTCATTCAATACATGGCACCTGAAATATTACGCGGAAAACCATATACTAAATCCGCTGATATTTATGCTTTTGCTATTGTTATGTCTGAACTTGCTTCTGAACGTCCACCGTTTGTTGACAGTCCACATGACAAACTTATGGACTTGGTATATGATTTATGTGATGGCTATAGACCATGTATCAAGAGTGAATTACCAAATTGCTTTAAAACTTTGATGTTTCAATGTTGGGATGATGACGAATTTAATCGTCCTCATGCACGACAGTTGGTTGATAAATTGTTAGAATGGTATAATGAAATTCGTAATAATACCTATTCGGAAATTTGTTTGCAATTTAAGACTGCCGATGAACATAGACAATTACGATTAAAACTTCCTCTATACAAATATGACATCTATAAGAGTCGGCGAGTAAAAACAACTGATCTCGGTGATGATATAAATTTTTCTGGAGATGGCTACTACGGTTATGGGAATGATTTTCCCTCGTTACTTGTGCATGAATCTGGAGATAGTAAGTTATTTATTTATTATCGTTTTTTTGTTACAACTTTGTGACTCTTGATTTGACCATTTTAATTAATAACCCATTTTCTAAATATCAAGGTCTGGAGGATGAAGAAGATTTAAGGGAATATGGTTCGTCATATTTCATTCATTTTTGCTTATTTACCTATTCTAAATTAATATTTATTCAAATTTACATTCGTAGAGCATGTTTCAATGCAAAGGAATGACTTTCTTTCATGGCTAGGTAGATATTTTCCCTCTCTTCTTTTTTCCAAAAAAACGCAAAATCTTTAAATCTCACTACGAAATATTTTATTCTAATAGAAAATGTTGAAGATGGGATACCAAATTTACTCGATTATAAATTTTAAAGTCATTGATTAAAAACAAATTTCTACTTGTAAATAGTTTCTTTGAATTTTACAAATACTAATAAAATAAAATTAGATCAAATTGCTGTAATATTAAACTATCTTGTAATGATAATAATTTCAGCATCAGCCGCGACATATATTCTTAATTATACCTCTACACGAGTACTAAACCGAACTTGTGAAATATTCCGGGTATATTACAAAGGTTCTAGCATGATTTAATGATTCATTTTAATTCGGTTGAAGAAGAAATTTTATTAAACAAAATACCAAACTTCTCTAAAACGGTTTTAGCGAGAAAATGAAATTGTAAAATATATGAAGTCTATATAATTTCAAAATAACCATTTTTTCTAAATTTGAATTTAGGCAAAAAATTTAAAGTCAAAGATCATAAAATTAAATTCGAGAATAAATCTATCAGAGGGTATAGACATTCAAGCAATGTTAAATCTAAAATTTAATCACTAGTACTTGCTTGTTTGATAAATTACTGTTGAACTTCCCCAAACTGATTCTGTTAAAACCAATAACCTGTTAAATCCGATAAAAAATTAATCTACAAAGTACTTTTCTGTTATATAAATCTCTTAGTTTATGTTGTATGTTTTTAAATCTAATAGCCTCTCAATACTGATATAACCATTCATATCGATTTTGGGAGGTTCAACAGTATCGTATTTAAAATACAATTTCAATACTATATAGTATACCCGATGTGAACCACGTGATCTATATTAATCAACCTGGTTTTTAATATCTAGATTACCTGCTGGGTACTAGAAAAAAAACACTAGCTAGTTGATGCATCAAAAATGTAATTTTGACTGTCCATACGCGTGTCTATATTTGTACTTTAGTGTAACAAAAGCATATACGCGTTTGTGACAATTTGATGAGGACCCCGAACAATACTAATGGAGGTCATATTTGAAAAATAGCTAACAGAGGTCAAAATTTTTCAAAATTAAGCAATTTGATTGGCTAAAATTTTTTTTATCCAATCAAATTCCAAAAAAACTCCTAATGGCTCAAATATGACCTCAATTAGTATTGTTCAGGGTCCTATTTGATGGGTATAACAATTATAAATTGTCTTTTTTTTTTGTTTGAAATAAACACAAAAACACAAAAAAAAGAATACTGTTCACTTTTTATCTTTTTTTTATTATATATATAACATATTTTGTTTAGATAGTTTTTATTTTTAAAAAAACACTATTAGATTGCTTAATGTATACAACATAGATTCCAGACTTCATCATTTTTGGTGTTTTAGAAATAAAGTAAGTATTTTTATTTTTAAATTGTAAATTTATCAGATTACCTTTTTATTGATAAAAACCAACTGGATGGATAACATGGATAGAACAATTTTGTCCATATGGATGTAAATATTTTCATAAGAAATCATAATCGTCAAGGTAGTATTATTTCTAAAAATGTTTCTAAATAAAGAGGTGACTAGATGAAATTTTACACTTAGTTGAGGTTTTGGAGGCCACCAGATAGGACTCTGGAGGAAGTAGTTATCAAAAAGGTTGATTCTAACACATAATCAGTAGTTTGATATATTTTTGAAATAAGATCTACTATTTTTGCCAAAAGGAGAGATAGTTATATTTCTTATTCATAAAAAAAACTTTGTATACTAAAAATTAAAAATATTTACTTAAGGCTATACAAACTTAATAAATTGGTTCTCATAATCTGGTCAGATCAAATTTCACAAAATTTTTAAAAAAATTTGACTATATTTACTATTTAGGTGAAGTTTTTTTAGAAGTTTATAAAAAGTTCTATATGCATTTTATATATAAAATTTTTGAAAAAATAAAATTAAAAGCCAGGTTGTCAGGTCATTTTTCAAATTTTGTTATGAAAACCAAAAAATTAACTTTGTATAACCTAATATATAATTATTATTAACAAATTTTTTTATTATTAATTAGTATCAAAAGTCTTTAAAACATTATTATTTTTTAAAAGAGTATTTTAATACTTACCAGAGGTAAAATTTACTGAGGAGCTATATCTTAAAAATTACACTATAAAACAGGGGTTGGGTAGGTTAAGTAAAAAATGTTCAGGACTTCTGAAAATCTCACAAAAACTTAAATCAGAACCTTATATTTACTCTACATTATATAATATAAAAAACCCTCCTAAAACCGCACCCTAACCCTAAAATTCTTATGCCAGTGAATTTCACCACCAGTTAATTTTAAATAAATTCTTTTTTAAAAAGCTTTTTTTTTTTTATTAATATAGATACAAATAATATAAAATGTGCCTATAGTGTTTATGATGTTAATAAGTTTTTAGTTAAAATTTAGCAGTGTTGGGCAATATAGACATTTGGACTTATTAAAAATAATATGGACAAATATGGACATAGTAATTTATAAACATGGACATATAGGTTTGGACATAGTCCAAATTTTTTAAAAAATATGGACATATACCAAGTGCCAACACTGAAATTTAGGGTTAGGGTGCAACTTTAGAGTAAGATAGGGGTTAGATATAAAGGTCCAAATTTTAGTTAGCATAAGGTTTTTGGAGTACGTTTTTGAGATATAGCTAATTATGGTGTTCAACACCATAGGTGCATTTTAGTAGCGTTGTATAGATATATAGATTTTTTAATAAAAATAGTTATTTTCATTAATAAAAAAAATGTAAAGTGTAAAAAAATAAAACAAAAAAAAATCATTAAAATTGTATTATGGTGTATAAGTATTCGATCTTATTTTATTAATAAAGAATGTAACGCTTCTGATAAAGTGATTAACAAAAGCCCCGTCTAGGAACTTTTCAAACACTCGGTATAATTTCTTATAGATCGTTTACGAGCTCTTATCAGTTTTTATGTTATTAGGTCAATTTTCTTATGCTTTATGGTAATTGGTAAATATGGAACAGGATTGTTTTCTAATTTGATTTTTATATCAAGAATGACCATATCGAGGTTAGACTAATTTTTGAGCCAAAAATAAAAAAAGTGTAGTGAGCACATAACGCACATAAATTTTATAACTGATGAAAAGTGAATATTAAAACAAGCTTAAAATAGTAATTTACTTTTTGAATTTATTCAATTATGCAATCTCTATTAAAACAAGCTTAAAATAGTAATTTACTTTTTGAATTTATTCAATTATGCAATCTCAATACTCGGTACATCGAGATGCAAATAATTAATAATAGATACAATTATCATCTATGGAATATATTTATAATACAATAAATTACGCAACTGTACAAATTAGAACACTAATCCTGTTCGGCATTGGCTCCAAAAAATCCAACACTGCCAACGGCCCAAATTTCTCTCTCTTCTTCTGCATCTTCATCTACTTCATTCGTATAACCCGATTGTAATTGTTCTATTCTCTGTCGTTCTTGTGATACAAGTTTGGATAAAACGCGTTTATGAAAATCAACAAAAGTTTTGGCCGTTTGAGAATCGATTGTTGATAAATAGTTCTATATTTCAGTGAAACATTAGCAATAAATATTAAAGTTCTTAATAATGTAAGCGAACTAGAAATGAATTTACCTGCATCACGTTCTCGCCATCCAGAAGCTGAAGTACGTACAACAACGCACGCTCCGACGCAAGTTTCACAGGTACATTTCGATCTCGAGCACACACCACAATTTGAGGAATAATCTCGGAAAGATGAGGCTCCAAAATCTATAAATTAAAATAATTTTTAACTATAATTCATATTAATATAAAAATTTTATTTCCATACCTGAGGATACTTTCTTCCAACTACTCGAAAGACAACCAAAGCCAATCGTTTTGTCTCTCCAACCAAGGTAGCGGGTTCACGGACATCATGTACCAATGCTTCCACAAGGCGACTTATTGTATTTGGTTCATGATAAAGCTCTGTAAGCAAAATTTTACCTGCTGCGATAATTGAATTATCTGCAATTGACGGCTATAAAAGAGCAAAGAGTGAGTAATGTCATTATAAAGCCAGCGCTTTATGAAAATTAACTTGCAATAATTTACCTGATTATTCCTGCTGCCAGTAGATACAATACTAACTATTTCTTTATTAATTCCTAAATCAATAAAAACCCGTGGTGCTTCTACAAGAATTGCGTTGATGGCCAAAAGCGAGCTTTGCGTTGGCTCTCCAGATAGAATATAATTTCTATTAACATAAACGATAAATGTTATAGTAAATTGAAAATTATAATTGAATCAAACTCTTTATGAATCAAACAATAAAACTTACGTGATGAGAGGTATGGCTTCTTGGTGCGGAAGATGCTTACACAGACTTCCAAGAAGACGAGCGGCACCAACCACCATTCCTTCTACAAAATATACATATATTCAGTTTAATTTAATTCAGCATCATAAATGCAAATTATGTACACATACCGGAAGAATCATTTAACCCATTTGCAATAACTTCAAGGACACCCTTCTTTGAAGCTTCACTCATACCATCTCCTGCTTTATTCACAACGCTTTCCAAAGCATTCAGCATAGTTTCTCGCACACTAGGCTCACTCGTTTTTATTCCGGTAACCAATTCCAGTATCAAAGGATCTACACGAGTTTGTAGTGAAATCAGATTACTAAGAGCTTTTGCGGCACGTGATCGAACAAGGGCACTTGTCGGATCGGTCAAAGATTTGACAAAAGTACGTTGAAGTTGTGGGAGGAAAGGTTTGAGGAGGGCAGAAACCTTTTCAAGTAACAAGCTAAACATTTACATGTTAATGCGTCAGTAAAGACAACTCAGCATTTAAATTTTTCCTGATGGTAAACATTTAAATAAGTTACTAACCTCAATGTCTGCAATATAGCTGCCTTCACTTGAGGAGGATAACGATCACCGATTATACGAATAAGTGGGCCCGTTATTTGTGTCACAAATGGCCGGAGAGCATCAGCCGACGTTCGTTGAATAAGATCTCCTATTCCTAAAGCGGACTGTTCACGAATTTCAGCAGTACCATACATCAATCCATGTAAAAATATTGGAAGAATGGGACTTATTCCTTTTGGTAAGCAAAATCCTGTTAAGTCAACTCCAGGAACCCCGACACCTTTCACTGAACGACGAAGAGGCATAACCAATTGTTCCAGATCGTCTTTCTTTACAGATTTGGTCACAGCATTTAGAGCATTCCATGCTGACTTGACTACCTCTAGTTGATGATCATCTAAAAGTGATACTAAAACTCGTATCCATTCTGTCGTGTATCTTGAAAAGTCCATCTTAGTCTCACTGCAAAATATTGCAACAATGTCGCAGGCACCAGCTCGTCTTGCAGGTTCATCACTCTTAACTGCTTCAAACAGTATTATCATCAAGTTTTGAAGGCCTTCAATACTATCAATAGAAAGCAACAGTGCACGCTCTGTTTCTTGAAGCTCTGAAATTACAGAATCATCAGTTTCCATGCTCAAAGACGCCATGAGTGCCGTCAAAATATTCGAAAGTCTTTTGTTAAGAGCAGCACCGGCAACAGTTACTAACGATGCAAGAGCTCGAGCATTGAAGGCAGTAATGGGCACAGTGATGAGGTTAGGTATGAGAACCGGAAAAACTACATTAGCACGCACTGTCATTATTTCTTTCAAAGCTTCTAACGCATAAGTAGAATCTTCTCCAGATTGGAGGGAATTAAGAAGGGTAGGCAATATTTCATCGATTGCTTTATCACCAACATGTTGCTGAAGTGTGTCGAAAGCTTTAAAATGTAGATATGTATGATTATTAAATATTTGTATGAAAGTTGGAACACTACATATAAGACAATATCCAAAAAAAGCTTACCTTGAGCTGCTGCCTCACGTACTTCACCAGATTCATCAACCAATGCCTTTCTAACAGCTGGAATAATTGAATCTACATAGTCGATAACTTGTACCTTTCCAGCTGTACTCATTATTTCACTTAAGCCAATACAAACACCCTGCCTCTTATCTGATTCGGGAGACTCCAAGCCCTCCTCTAAAATAGGTATGATTTCTGACATAACGCTTTCACCAAGTTTACGAACAAGTTCTCCAAGAGTGCGTGCAGCTACTTGACGTCTCTCAAAACTAGGACTTGCGAGGTTTTTAATAATTAAGCCCATCATTATTGGTAGTATTTCCTTTACAGTTCGAGGCGTATTTGAAACGATAGATTTCCAAACATGTAAAGATGACTGTCGGACGATACCAGATACTTGGCAAAAGATAAATTTTTTAGAATCTTCACCTTGAAAAAAAGAAGTTTACTTAAAAATTTTATAAATAATACGACAGATAAATTACCATCTTGTCGAACAACATATAAAGCGGCCAAAACTCGATCACGCCTTTCCTTTCCGAGAGCTTGTAATAAAACCCTACGACTAGCTTCAGTTCCTCCAGTTTCTTCCTCTTCCTCTCCTTCAGCAGTTACTTTGCCACTAATACCAGTGATGCGATACAATAGATCTCCCATGAGTTGCACAGAACTCTGTCTAATTCTCCAATTGTCATCAAATAATCCTCTTTCTAATTCAGGAAGGAAAAGGTCTACAGCTTTAGTTGCATAGTTTGCAATAATCATTCGACCTGCTCTAAGTGAAGCATCCCGTACATATTCTGATTCGTCAGCTAAACCAGATAAAATTGGAGGAATAATACGACCGAGATAAGGTTGAAACCTTAGACCAAATGTTGCCGGAAGATAAATGAGTAAAGAAATAAATCCTTCACGCACATATGACTTTGGACTAGTAGCGTTAATTACAATTTCAGACAAAAGTCCCTCAAGACGGCTTATGCCTAATCCTGCTAATACTTCGCTAAGTCCTTGCGCAGCACCTTGTCGGTCAACACCACTAGTATCTGATTTAAGAGTATGAACTAATTCATTTACAAGATTTGGAAACTTGTCTTCTCCGAGCTTTTCCACCATAGTGCCTAATGATTTGGCTGCCGTAGCACGAGCTTCGGGTACAGGGTCTACTAATACTTCCTTAAGGCTTGGTAAAAGTCGTGGCAAGTAAGGGACAAGATCTTTAATATCGGTTAAAGATGCCATATTACCAACTATTTGCGAAGACTTTTTTTTAACTTCAGTACTACGCTCTTTCAAGCCTCGCTCAAGAATGGGCATTACCTTCAAGAACAAAAGACAGTAGGTACAATGTTAAACTCGCACATCATTTCGAATACAATCCGAAAATGATAAAGTACCCCTTACCAATGCCAATGACGGTGCATCAATATAATGAACAAAAGCAGTTTCTAATAATGAGTTCAATGCAGCATTAGTATGTTTATCAGGATCACTTAAGCCACGAAGTAGAATCGGTACGAGAGCTTGAATTTCCGGATTGCTAATAACCTCTCCAAAATGTAATAAAGCTTCATTTGCAGCTGATTGAACATCCTTATGTGAATCCGAAAGTACAGTTGTTAGTCGGGGAACTATGGTAGGAAGAGAAATCGATAGTTGTTTAGGTGCACAAAAAGCCATTGACCCCAGCAATTCGATCGATCCCTTCTTTGTTCTCCACTGGCGATCCTCTAAGCCTGCCAGTAGCGTTGGTAAAATAAGTTTAATACAATGGCCACTTAGTTTGCTCATAATAGCTCTAGCTGTGTCTGACGTTGCTTCTCTAACATCAGGGTGAGTGTCACCAAAGCATACTAACAACAGCGGTAATATTTGTATAACATAGGGTTCAAAAAGACGTCCCAGACTTTGTGATAATGTTTCGAATGCAAAGAGAGCACCTTGTCGAAATTTATAGTCCTTTTTATTATCTACACCTTGCTTCAACACAGTTATTATACTACAGTCTTTCAAAGATGAAATACCAGTGCCTTTCACGATACCAGCTAAACCATACGCTGCACCCCTTCTCTCTGCATACTTTTCAGAATGATACAACTTATTAAGCAGACCAGAAATCAAATCTGGTGCTTTATCTTTCATAAACTTGATTAAAGGCGGTAAACAATCACCAACAGCTACTTGAACGGCTTCGGAGGGAGTTTTTAGTGCATCAAGTAATTTATCAATAATCACAGGAATTCTTGAATCTGTAGGATCTAAATGCTTCGCCAAAGCACCAAACCAAATAACAACAGATTCACGAATACGATCATGAGTTTCTGTTGGCGTAGCAGGTTTATCCAAATAGTTTTCAAACACTGACATCAGTAAAGCAACGTTCTTGCTACCATGAGAGTCGATAACTGCCAAACCTGCCTAAGAAATCGAGCAAAAAAAAAAAAAAAAAAAATCAACATGATAACGATTAATATAGACAATATCAAACATCTCTCATACCTCCAACAATTTTTGCCGAACTTGCGCATGAATATCACCTATTGCCTCATCATTTATCAAGAATTCAAATAAAGGTTTCAAGTCTGTTGGTCTTAAATTTTGTGCTAGTGTACCAAGTGAAAGTGCTAATCCTACACGAGCTTCCCATGGGTCTTTTTTATTTAGAGATTCAGGTATTAAAATACCAAATTCATCATACTCAGGTTGAACTGGTTTTGCCTAAGTGCATGATTCGAAATAAAAATTGGAATCTATGGTACTACTGCGTTAAGGAATGCTTACAAATGATTAATCTTAATAAAAATTTGCATTCACCTTTTCCTTATATTGTTCACAAATTAGTGATAACGTGTCTGCAATCGAGTCAGGGAAGTATTTTGATGCATTACCAATAGCTTTAGCAGCACACTCTCTGACATATTTTTCTTCATGAATCAAATAAGGCAACAATTCGACATTGTAACTCGGTTCAACGTCCATTCCATTGGATTCCCATAAGGCTATTGCCAACTTTGCGTTATGCTCATCCTCATGACAAGCTATCCATAGTTCACACGAAAAATCAATATCTGTAAGATCCAAATTATCTAATGCTTGTAAACAAGCATGACGAACAAATGGTTCTGGAGAAAGCAATCCGGTGAGCAGAACATTTATTTCCTTTTGTTCTGCTGTTTCACCAATAGACTCGCATAAGTTAATCATGGCAGTCCTTGCAACTTTTGTAAACTTAGGATATTCTTTAATTATATGTAAAAGTGTATTAATCATTTCAGACCGTGGAAGTAACAGTGAAGATCCAATAACTGTATGGAAAGAAATTATATCCAATCCTAATGCAATTTGTTCCATTGACGTTTCCAAATCATTTGTTTTTTCGTTATGTAAATCAATTCCACCGTTCATAATAACTTGATGAATTAATGAGAAACAATAAGCAAATGACGAAGGTGTTATCAGTGAGCGCTCTGTTATGATACGAAGACGGAATAGTACACGTGAAACAAGGAGTTCTAATGATTCTTGAAGCCATTTTTCCGGAATTCCTTGGACTTCCATAACACGGAGAGTCGCTAAGCCAATTGGAATGCGAACGCTTTCAATCTTTTCAGATGTACAAAGACTAATATCCAAATATGTATTAACTGCTTTTTCTCCGATCAAAGGGACACATTTTTGTAAAACGTTATACAATAATTTCATTAACTCTACAATATATTGTTCGACGGCTTCTGAGTTTCCTTTTACCATTGCACCCACAATATCAAGCCCCCTTATTAATTTTAGACGAACATTCTCAACAGCTTTACGCGTTTCAGATTCTTTTGCCAGTTGGGCACTTACTGCAGCTTGCTCTTCCTTCGTTAGTTTAGGCGTCGATATGCCTTTCTTTTGGGCTATTTTTTCACGTACTTCACGTTCCCATTTTTCAGTTTGATAATCTTTTTTATTGCGATTTTCAACAACTTGTTTCTTATTTTTGAGTACTATCCAATGAGATAAAAGTTAATCAATGATACTATTTTTTTTAACATGACCAAAATAAAATATAAGACATTACCATCGACGAATAAGGTCCCTTCTGCAGTTTTCCATATTCCTATCTCTTGTTCACCTATTTTTTCAAACAAACAAGGATCCAAATATTTACGACATTGAATAATAAGTAATGGTACGAATTTTTCAGGTGAAATAAAAGTAACAGTTGATATCGTTGACAAGGCGGCTTGATAAAAATCTTTTGACTTTAAGTGAAAAAAGTATTATATAATGAGATAAATTAAATAAAAACGTTGGTATTTTTTTTTAAAGGAAGGCTTACTTCACTATTATTTTCAATCGCCGATTGGATTAATTGTAGGATACGTCCAGAATACTTTTCAACTAACTTTCCGGGGTCAACTTTTGCTCTTTGTACTAAAGTTATCCAATTATACTTATCGGTAGGTGACGCTAGAGTTGTAGTAAAATCGATTCTTAAATATATATAAAATACTTTAATTAGATCGACAAAACGTTACCAACCAATTGCGGAATGATGAGATAAAATTATTAGTTCAACAAGCGATTTTTCTACATCCGATCTGTCAACTTTCTCAGAAAAGGTTGTAACGGCAGTGAGCACTTTTGAGAGTCTATACGCATTAATGGCAGGATCGGGATGTGCAATTGCAGAAGCTAAAATTGCTGTAGAATCTTTGATATTCTTTTCAAGCTAAAGAAAATTTAAGTTATTTGTACGCCGTTTTTAGAAAAAAATCACTTATTCGTTGTTAAAGTATAAAAGAGACTAGATTTAGTATTTGACATACGTTAAGTACCCAATTAGTTAATCCTTCCCGAACCATTTCACCTACAAAATTTGGGTTTATTTGGACGCAAGTCTTAAGAGCATCATACGCGTCACGACTAGCCTGGTGAGATGTGGAAATCATATAAATAAAGGCAGTAGCTATGTACACTCTAAAAATGATTTATATGTTAGAAAATAATCTAACACCAATATTATTTTAACTTAGTGTGCCTTCATATGTGATATTTACTTGATATCTGCTGTTTGTAATGAAGTTTCGTCTTCACTAAGGATTATGCTCTCAAGAGATCGAATAAACCAACAATTTTCGTCAACAGTGGTAATCTTGGAATATACTTTATCCCAAAGCAAGAATGTAAGTTTGGGTGAAGTAGCAAGGATGTTTTGTCTGAACTTTCTTGTTCTGATCAATGCATCTGATGTATTGTGAACATGTAAATAAGTTATTCATTTCTTGCCTAATTAATTTTGCCTGAATTAATCAATACTTACTGATCTCATCATCATTCCAATTTTTTGCTCTACCTTCAATAATGGCAACTAATATATAGCCTTCAATCGGCCCGCCAATAAAGTTAAGAGCATTTGCTTGAATCTTTTCTACTGTCGACATAAGAGGCGTAAGAGACTTGAAAATTATATTACGAAGTGATACTGAAGTGTATCCTGTCTCTTCCCACGCAAGTCGCCCGATTACAGTAGCCCATGCTTTCCTCTCGCCAGTTTTAGCACTAGTCAATCCTTCCACAATGGATCCTGTAACTTTTTCCACGAGAATTTCATCTTTCATGCTTAACAGTGATTTCAAATGTAAACCTAGAGCATCAATGGCTTTAGCTAAAGAATTTTCGTTGCTTTCTTTTAAAACAATTGGTAATAGTCCCTCAATCACAGTTTTTGAAACATTGGGTGTTTGATGTATGTGACCTAAAGTTTGGAATAAGATAATGCGATGTTCTGGGTTGGCAACTTTTACAGTCCCTATAAAAAAAAATATAATTAAGTCTTAAAAAAACTTATAAATAAGCAATTGCAGCATATAATTGCTATTGATAGTACAGACCTCCGCTCAATGCTTGAATAATATCTTTAACAATATCGATTAGAATTTCATCATTGCAACTTTTTTCGACAAGTATCTTTAGCAATGCTATTGCATCTGTTTGTACTACTTTATTAGAGGATCGAATATGTACAAGTAAAGGTTGCAAAAAATTTTTCTTTAAAAAATTTGATAAGTCGAAGGATAAATATCTAGTTAAGGAGGCCAGTACTATTGAAACAAAAATACGAAATTAACGGGTATTAAAATAATAAATTCGCGATCTTGATAGTGAATAACAAACCACTCAATACGATTTCAGGTGCTCTTAGGAGAAGTTTTTCGAAAACCGGAATTAACTTAGTTTGAAAGTCTTCTTCCGTAACTATAAATTTTATAAAATCATGTAGTGCATCCTATAACCAAGGAGGAATGTCGAGTCAAATTTAATTTGATTAAAATGCAATTATGATATGAATACAAAGTACCTTTGATGTTTTCGGGACAGTAGTTTTAGAAGATGCGATGCCTGTTATATAAAATTGTATAATATCATCCTGAAGATATTTATTAGTGAACATGTCATTTAATAATATCTTGAATAAAGTTCGTAAGATTATGCTCATTGAGATCGCATCCCGTTAAATACCTTTGCACTCTCCACAAAAGCTCGGCCGTTTTCCTTTTTAAGCCGTAAAGAACAATCAACGACTGTCCCAAGTAAGACAGAATCACTGAACATAACATTACATGATTTCACACTGGAAGTAAGATATTTTATATATGAAGGAATATGTGACGCATTCTGTATGAAAATGAGTAAATTGAATATGCGGGAAATCATAAAGATCATATGGGGTCTTTGCCTTGAAAATCAAATATATGACATATGATTTACTATGTCCCATAACTTGATTTTCAAGGCAAAGACCCCATATGAATAGTTGTTACATCTATTTATATTCATCTACCTTACGAATACAGTGTCTAACACCAGTAATTGCACTATTTGTCACGCTTTTTCTTTTTTCATTTTCATAAGTTAGTGAATACAAAAGTACTGCTTGAGCATCTACTAATCTCTTCCAATGTGGTGATGATTCAGCGTTGGTGGTAGCAGATAAAACAAAGTTGATTAATGTATTAATCCATGTGAGAAGAACAAATCGAATGGTGGACGATGTCGTGTACGTGGTGCTATATAAGCAAGCACTTAATAAGAATTTCCTTAAAAAGCTTAAACTCTCGATTGATTTCATACCAGTCGGGACTCTTTTGATTTAACTTATCAGCTTCTTTGACGACCATTGGAACAAATGCATTTAAAAAAAGCTCAGAATTCCAGTTATTGAGCTCTTTTAAAATATTCAATATAGCAAGACGTGAAGGTTTATCATTGTATCTGGAATAAGTCAAGAAAATAAGGTGAAGAAGGCTTCCAAGTAAATTTTCAGTGAGATCTATTTTATAATTGCAAGAGATATAGTATATAAAAAATAGCAATTAAAGCCAATTACGTGATAAAATTGAAATTTACATTAATGCTACTTACCGCCAGCTTTTATTCGGGGCAATAGCGAGTGATTCAGAAACTCTAGACGATGAATGGTATTTGAGCTTGTGATGCTGTATAAAGCTCTGGATTTTAAAAACTTTGCCCACGAAAGGTCTGCTAAACCGATATCGATTATGTCCGGAGAATCCATTATTTTTGTTTTAAAAAGCAGACCGCAGTAGCAAGAAATGAATAAAAAAAAAAATTGATTTTCGGATCAGAAATTATCGCACTGTTAGTCCAAAAAATCTGTATCATGTGATGGAGATCAGCTTGAAGTTTGGTTAAATTCTGTAGATCTACACGCCAATCAAATAAATTCCAGAAGTCACTCATATATACTAAATACATTGCATATACAAAAAAAAAATTTTTTTTATAGCATGTTATTATAAAAAATCTATATAAGATGTGTAGAAATAGGTTCTGGTAGAATTCAACAATCTCCAGCCAAAACTAACTATAAAGCAGGCCAACCATAACTAAATCGGGTCAAATTTGTCGGCGAAATGATTGTCAGAGAAATTGGTTTATATATACTGTATATATTAAAATAGCCGGTTAGGGTGTCCAGAATTATGCTACTAGCATAATTTATCATAATTCAATTTTGCTAGCATAATTATGCTAGTAGCAGAATTTAGCATAATTTATATTTGCTAGTATAAAATCTGTATATTTTGATAATAGAATATTAACAACTAAAATCTATCCAAACTATAACTTAGTATAATATAGTCAAATTTATAGATATATATTTTTTTTATATATTTTTATTTTTTTTTATATGCATTTTTTCTTTAGGCAATTTTGTTTATTTTATTTTAGAGAAAAACTTAATTACTACATACAATATACAATACATGTCTTAATTATTGTTTTACTATCTCAATCAAAGATTAAGTTTATTTAGTTTTATCTTAGTTATTATAGTTTTTACTTGTAATTAGAATAAACTATTAAACTATTATATTATACTTAGATATAACCTGTTTAACAACATTTAGCCTTCTCTAAAAGTTTAAAATTTATTAAAAATTTTTAATTTTCAAACTTACTAGTTGGTTGTTGTCAACCTTATCAAGATTTCTATTCTATAATAAAATATTTCTAATTTGATAATACTATTATAGTCCATGGCTTTTTAATAGCAGTATTATTATAATAATAATATAGCTATAGAGATTTTTTACAAGTTTATTGTAGTATTTAAGAGATAAATACAATATAATTTTTATATTAATAAAAAACTATACACTTCTCTTTGTGGCAGTTTTGGCAAACAAAAGTTTATATGTAAGATTTTTATTTATTAGAAGATATAAAAATTAACTATTCTTAGATTTCTATTCTTAAAATATCTTATAAGATTACAAAAGAAAATTTAAGAAAAAAGAGACATCTGTATTTAATATCTATTTAAAAAAATTTATAAGCTTTTTATCTTTAGAGCTAATTGCTAATTATTGTAGCTAAGCATAATTTACTTAGTATTAAACATTAATTATAATGGTTAATTATTAATTATTAAGTACTAATTATTATACTAATTACTAAAGTTCTTTAAATATTTAATTTAGTGATTTGAACCGAGAAAAATTTTCTTAATCGGTTAACCGAACTGAATTATTTCATTCAACTGATTGCCAACCGGTTAAAATTAACTATCTACTGCCATCGAAAATTCTTGGAGCTTTACTCTCTTGTCTTTATGTTCATTCATTTTCTTTTCGGACTTTTTCGGACTTCTTACGTCATTTTTATATTATATCTATTCCGCCAACCAATTACCAATTCTCAACTGGTTGTATCGGGTCAACCGATTAAGAATTTCCTCAACTGGTTAACCGAAAATTATTCAGTTCGGGTCGATTAACCAATTATAGCCCAACCGATTCAAATCACTAATTTAATTAAATATTTGATAATTTATATAATTTAAGTTATATTATATTGTATAAAATATAAATTATTCAATTAGAGGATGTGGCAACTTAGTGAAGTGATCAAGTTGTTGCACTCCCAAGTGGCAGGACAATAGTTCAAATTCCACTGGTGACGAAATTTAAATTTTACAGAATGTGTTATAGCAGACTATGTATAATCTGATAGATCATCAGATCTGTAAATTTGGTTATATCAGGAGTTATTGAGAAGCTGTAAAACTGTAGTATGACATATAAGTTACACAAAACCCGAGTGAAATGGCTATATAAATCTAGGTATTGGAGTATACGGAAGCCCGCTTAACAAGTCCTGAGTAAAGAAATAGTACAGATTTTCAACAGTACTATGTAAAAGGCTATCTAAGAGATCCAGATACCAATTTCAGTAATCTGGATGAGGATTGGTATTTGGCAAGACACTATACCAACCAGGCTGCCAACTGAGTAACTGGAGAAAAAGGACCCAACCATGGAGACCAGAGTAGATCACAGCCCTTTTAGGCTATCTAGATTGGGAGTTTAGATTGCTAACAGAACTTAGGTACTAGTGATAGTCTGTAAAGTGTGTATTGGGTTTGAGTGAACTTTACAAAGGCAGAAGTAGATAATGGTAGTGACTTTGGCTTACAAGTACTTGTTCTCAGACTCAACATAAGTTATTGAAGCCTAGGTTAGCTGGATTGTGGATATAGAAAGTTCTAGCAGATTTACTTTGAGGACAAAGGACTCCTATAGGTAAGCCTGTCTTAAAGTTCTAAGTCGAGGATCCAAAAATAAGGGGGTACTAATGTATTCTTGCTCAGTTAGAGAATTAATATACATAGCCGCAGAGGGTTTAAATAGGTAACTCGATAGGGTTATAGGTACGGTAGCTAGTGTAGAACCTTCGGGTGTTTACTTAAATAGGCAATTAAAAATTGCACATGTAGCTAGTTATACTCTCCAAATATATATATGGTATGGGTTTTCATACTGTAAAAGTTAACAATAATTGAACAAAAGGACAGTGACCAAGAGGTCACCTTAAAACTAAAAAAAAAAAATATTCAATTAAATACTTTAAAATAATA